TCGTTCTCCAATGAGCAATCCTTCAAAACCCTAACAAACTTCATAGCATATTTTTTTTTTCAAAAATTAAATGACATTTAAGACAAGAGCAAAAGCAAGGTTACATGTACCAAATTAGTTTGTTAGAAACTTCACCTATGCTCCCAAAAATGCATAAGAAAGGAGAGGTTTCACTTAACTGAATTAGTTTGGTTATTTGATTTTGGACACATTAGATTTTTATTTTAATTTATTTATAAACAATTTATATTGTTGCACAAGATTATTATTATTTTTTTAATTTTTTTGATATTTTTATTTTAACATATATTAAAATTTAATTAACAAAAAATTTGATAAATAAAAAACCAAATTAGATATGTAATTAAAAAAATATCTAAAAACCTCCCATAAAAAAGAAAATCTTAAAAACACTTTCATGTAAGATAACTAATTGTATTTAACATATGGGGATCAATTAATTATAACTAAAATTAATTAATTATATAATCTACATCTTATATAATATTAATAAAGGATATTTTTTTGTGAGTAAACAATTTTTTTATTAATTTACCCTCATAATTACCTCTAAATTATTTATTTATTTATCCTCTCTTTTTTCTAGGTATTCAATTTTCAAATCTCTTATCTTTAAGTAATTACTCATTCTCTCCTCTCTTTATCTATAATTTATATCCTTAATCTTCAATTATAGTAAAGGAGATTATGTTTTTTGTATACACAATTTTTAACTAATTTTATCTTGTAACTACTTTTATTTTTATTTTTTATAAATCACATTTTTTTTATTATTTTCTATAAATTTCAATCGACAATTGTTCGTACCTTCAAATAACTGTCCACTATTACAGTCACAAAGCATAAAGTATCTTTTTTACACTATTTTAATTATGAAAAAATTGGTTTTGAAAACAAAAAAAAATAAAACTAATTTTATACTTAATATACTTTTACTATTGTTATTATATTTTAATAATATTCTATGTATCTTAGTTAATTTGAATGAGAGTATTTTTTTACTAATACTTTAATATGTGTGACACATGATCATTAATTATTTGATATAATTAAATTTTATAATAAATAATAATAATAAATATATAAAACATTTTATTTTTGTAAATATTAATTTATATTATAACATAAAATTATTTTTAAATTTTGATATTTTTTTAAAAAATATTGAAATAAATATCAAAATAATATATTAAAATAGATTAAAAAATATTAAAAATAAATATAAAAATGATATATTCAAAGAGATAAAATATTAAAAAATATTAAAATAAATATTATATAAAATAAATATTAAAATATAAAGACACGTGATGAACTACTAAGTAATTTTGGAATCATATAAAATTTTATATAAAGGATCTTGAGCGTAATATCACACAATTCAACAATTGAATAAATTAAATTCGCATTACGCAAAAGTTATTAAAGATATAAGATTAGGTGTAAGTGTGGTTGCCCTTAAAAAATACATTTTATTTTGAGCTCATACATATATACATACATACATACATACATATATATATATATATATATATATATATATATATGAGTGTGTATTATGTGTGATTAAACATTTACATTAAATCTTATACTTTTGATAACTTTTGTATAATGTAAATTTAATTGATATAACCATTAAATCAGGTGATATTGTACTCATCATGTATATCAAAATTTACATGATTTGAATTTTTATAAATATATGTTTTCAAAAATATGAATGTTTATATATATTTTTAAAATATCATATTATACGTTAAAATAAGATACGTGATGAACTACTAAGTAATTTTGGAATCATATAAAATTTTATATAAAGGTTCTTGAGCGTAATATCACACAATTCAGCAATTGAATAAATTAAATTCGCATTACGCAAAAGTTATTAAAGATATAAGATTAGGTGTAAGTGTTTAAACTTTCACTTGATGTCATCGGATCTTGACTCATATATATATATATATATAAAGTTATCTTATTTTTTAGATTTATTTTAGTCCTCTATTAATTAAAATGTTTATTTTGATTATTTGTCCATTATCATTGGACCAATTTGATCTTTTTAAAACAATTATCATTTCAATTTTTTTTTATACAATTTTGAATCCATTTTTGACTGATTTAATACATGAAATTTGTAACATTAAATTCACCCATATGAAAATCATAAAATACAATTGACTTTCAAATTTAAAAGAACTATAAACATAGTGAAAATAGTGTAAAAAATATATCACACGGACAACTACAACATAGAATGAAATTATATATTTTTTAAATTTTTTTATTTTTACCTTGTATATAACACTTCAATATTTTTCATATATGTGAATCTAATGAGATAAATTTGAGATATTGTCAAAAAATGATTCAAAAGGACTAAAATAGCTTAAATTTAAGAGTTAAAAGACTAAAATAAATATTTAAAAAAATAAAACATCAAAATAAATCTAAAAAATAAGATAAAAAACCAAAAATATAATTTAACCTATATACATATAATTTTTAAATTAAATTTTAATATTTTGAAAGCAAATTATCAGTAATGAAAAATAATTTTATATCATAATATTATTATTTTTGATTATACTATAATTGATATATTTTAAAAAAATTATTTATTATAAATTTTAGTTATAAAATATATTTTTATTAAAATGTTATTCATATAAAGTATTCACCAATTCTTTTAATAATTACTTTATATTAAGAAATTTGGTTTGTTACTTTAGTGATGAATTTTCTTTTCAATCACTTTTTTTTTCTTTCTTAAGATTCAAATATGAGATTTTACTTTCGAAGATGATAGATTT